GCAGAGAATCTCCGTTTTGGGCCCGAGGTAGAAAGGGGGGGGGGGGGGCCGTTCTCCTTAGAGCCCCAGGGGATGGGAGAGGGGTCCAGACCACCTTTCCGAGGAGTCGGAACGGACGAGCGAGTGAGCCGTGCCTTGAACTCAATGCGGGCCGCCTGAGACTAAGCAGAGGCGTGCAGGACACCGTCCTCTTTCCCGGGGGTGGGTGAGTGAACTCCCCAGGGCAGGCCAGTAGAGACGCGATTCAGTGGCACCCCATTTTTTTCCTGGGAGGAGAGAGGAGCGTATCAGCTCTATTAGGATAAATATCAATAAATGTAGCCAGTTATTTCCTGAGCCTGGGGACCCTCTGCCCAGTGGCCAAGCACCTCGCAGTGAGGCAGGAGATGGGCCGGAGGGGGGCTGAGATGCTTTCTGGAAAGTCTTCCTCCCCACCTTGGGCCCAGGAAACTAGATCTACAACAAACTTACTCGAATTTCAGTCTTTAGAGGAAATTAGGGGTTGAGTTTCATTATAATCAAGAGAAGCAAACCTCATGTAGACAATTGGAGAGAGCAAGTGTGCTCAGCTGCCCGCTCAGCACGCTCCCCCGAGCCCCCTGGGGATCCGCCCCTCAGAGGCTGCAGCTGGCTCATCCCAGGCAGGGTTTTTCCACATTTAAAAACGCACGACCTTTTACACATGATTTTTGTGTTTTATGATGAAAAGACTCTAGGTTCCTTTTCCAAATAGGAAATTCTGGTGCTGCCCATGCATTTTCTCAGCACCAAGCCCGCTCTCCCAGTGGCGAGTCACTGCCCAAGGCCCTGCAGACCTAAAGCCGAGCTGGCAGGGATGGGGCCTGCAGGTCACCCCAGGTCAGGGTCCGAGCCTCAGAGGCCGTCCCTTCCTGTCCCTCCCACTCCGACCACCGACCACCGAGAGGCGGTGGGCAGCACACACAGGTGCTGCTCTGGGAACGAGGAGGGGCTTCTCTGGCACATAATTAGTTTCCAGCCTCCCGGGGTCCTGTCTGCCAGAGGTGTGAACAGAATGAACAATTAATAAAACTCGGGCTCCAGGGAGCCGGTTCTAGCTGTGGAAATAGGAACAGGCTGTTTAACCAACAGCAGACGCACACGCCCACACAGGCAGACAGCCTGTCACCCTCCCCCCAGACCTGTGTGCAGACACATGCTCGGAGCTCAGCCGGCCTCGGATGAACACGATGGCTAACACGCCCACCACCAACCCCGGATCTCACTTCTGTGCCATCACCGCGCTCCTCCCTCCCCGTCCCCCAAGGAGTTCGTTCCTCTTTAAACCAATCGGGGAGCAGTGATCAGTGGCCACAATTCAGAGGCCCCTCCCAGGGAAGGGAGGGCTGCTGACATAGATGGAGGCTTGTCCTGCTGTGGCCACCAAGCGAAACTCTTGGGGTGGCTGCTAATGAGCCTGACTGTCCCTGCCCAGCCCACTGCTGAAGGCGGGACCTCTTCCTGCCCCGGCCCCAGGAGGCTTGGTAGACTTCACCCCACTGGGCCACCTCCCTCCATTCTCTGGTCCCCTTTCCTGGTTCCAGGCGAGTGTTCCTCCCACTGCCCTTCAGTCGCCCTGCCTTCCCCAGGCCCTCTGCCCGCCTCCCTGTCGCCAGCAGCTGTTCCCTGGCCCTTGCTCCCTCCTTGTTTCCCTGGGGGCACGTCCTGTCCTCCAGCTTGACCTTGACTCTTCAAGTGCAAAGAGCATGCCTTTGCCTTCCCTGCACCTGGTGCAGCAGTGCTCTGCTCTCGGAGGGTCACAGGATGCTGAGCGTTTAGCTCACTTGCTGCCCACTCCTACCAGCCCCAGGACACACCCAGGGTCCCGCCTGTGTCTCTCCTCTGTGGCAACCCTGTGTTCTCCACCTCAGAGGGCTTGCCTCGGGCCTGATCGCCAAGTCCCTGTGTAGTTTCAACCCCCAGACACCGCCTCACAGCTTCGCTGGCTTTTCCTCAGCACCTCCCTGCGTCTGCCGATGTGCTGGCCCCTGCTGAGGGTGGGGACTGGCAGGGTCCAGGGGAAGGAGGACCAGCCCTGCCCTCACTGGGTACAGAGGATGTGCCCTCACTGGGGAAGGGCCCCTGCCAGAAGGCATCCTGTGCAAGGGGCAGGGGGCCGCCGTGGAGTGCGGGTCCGGCCAGGAGAGCATTTGGAGGCTGTGGATTTGACATTGCTGCTCAGGAGAGCCCTGGCGCTTGGTCAGAGGAGCCCTGTCTTCTCTCCTTTCAACACCCAGAGCACCCAAGGGGTCAGAGGGCAACATGAGGCTCCCATCGGAGACTTAACCACATCTGGATCTCATGCAGGCTGGGATAAACGTGCTTTTCCTGGGAGACCCGGGTGTCACCTGGGGGGTATGCCGAGGTCCCACAAGGAATCTAGCCTGGAGCTTCTTGTCCTTGGGCCCAAGAATCTCGAGTTTCACCAAGTAGACCCCCCCCCCCCCCCCCCATTCCACAGCCCAGAGCTGGTCAGGAACAGAGGGAGGGTTAGTGCTGGGAATCCCTGACCTCACTCTGCCAGCCCGGATTCCCTGGTGCAAGCTCTGCACTCCCCCTCATGGCGGGCTGAGCTGGGTGACACCGAGAAGGAGGGGATAGTTTGAATAGCCCCCGCTTCCGTCCCCTCCCAACCTTCCTGCCACGCGGTGTCTGTCTCTCCCTCTGGTGTTTGGTTGACCTGTTCTCTACTCTCCTCCTCCCGACTGCGTGAGGACCCTGCTCTGGACAGGAGCTTCCTTCTGGGTTCCCGCCTGCCGCACCTGCTCGTGGCCGCCGACTAGGTAGCGTGCTCTGCCTGTGTGCATGCCCCCTGCATGCCCGGAGAGGGCCAGGCCGTCTCTGCATGGACGAGACAGAGCTGGCTTCTCAGAGACCCAGGGGTCTCTCCCAGACTTCGGCTAATTGCCCTTCAAATCAAAGCTAGAATTTGATGGGAGAGCGGGCTCGGTAATTGTCCCTCCTGCTGCTAATCACCCCAGGTGGGGCAGGTAAGCTTACCTGGGCTGCCCCGTGGTGTCCAGAGAGCCAGCCAGGCAGACACCTAGGCACCAGCTGGGGCGCTTGGGATACCTGTGGGCCACCCTCCTCACCTTGCCCCTGAGCTCCATGTGGGGAAAAGAGCCACAGGTCCTGGGAGCGGCCTTTCTGACCACCTCTTCTGTGGGGATGGGTGTCTTCTCCCTACAGGTGACTGTGTGCTGGGTGGACGAGGCCGGGGCCAGTTCCACGCGCTGCCTCTCCCCACAGGCCGAGCACGCCGGGGTCCGCACCTACTTCTTCAGCGCCGAGAGCCCCGAGGAGCAGGAGGCCTGGATCCAGGCCATGGGGGAGGCTGCCAGGGTACAGATCCCCCCAGCCCAGAAGTCCGTGCCCCAAGCTGTGCGTCTCAAGTGAGTGCCTGGCTCCTGGGCCTCAGGGCGGGGGGGGGGGGGGAGCTAGAGAAAGAGAGAGAGAGGAAGGGCCCACTCAATGCCATCGCTGAACCCAGTGTGCTGGCGGAAGCACAGAGCAGGGTGCCGGGCGAGGCCATCTCAGAGCCGGCAGTCTGTTCCCCTGGCCGGCTCTGCCTCTGCTCTCTGAGCTGGTGGAGGCCAAGAGAGAGCCAGGTTCCAGGGGGGGCCTGGCCAGGAGCCAAAGGCCAGGGTCACGTGCTGTTTTTCTGGGCTGCGCAGGTGAGGGGCACAGCCTTAAGGAAGGTAGACTCGGGTTCGAATCCCAACTTGGTCACTTACACACAGTGTGGCCTCAGGGTAAGTGACTTCACCTCTGTGGACCTGAGCTTCCTTTCCTCAGAGGCAGCAATTCTAAGCCTACCTCGTAGGCCGTTGTGAGGACTAACCAGTGTGCAAAATGCTGGTATGTGGTGAGCACTCGGGACACGGCTGTGCCCATCACATCCCCAGCCGCAGTCTAGGCGCCTGTCTCCTCGAGCTGGTGTTGAGTCAGATGCTAACGGGGATCCAGAGGAGGTGTCACAGTGTAGACCCCAAGTCTATGCGCATGTCTTAGAAATGGTTACCAAGCAGCGTCTCAACACCAGCGCTTGGATGTGTTGAATTTGAGAAACTGTAGGGAGAACATTGTCATGAGATTCCGCCTTGGCTCCACCCACGGGGCGTACTTCCGGTGGTTCCCTCATCATTTCATAAAAATCTATGAATAGCCATGTGTACGGCGCTCAATCGGGTACCAGGAAAACGAGGGAGCAAATTCTGACGAGTTCCTGCCTCATGGAGCTTACATTCTAACAAGAAGTCAGTCCCGGGCGAAGCTTGCTCTTGGGAAGGGAACTAGCATGTCTCCAGGCTGTGCAGTTTGAGGCAGCAGCTTCTGCCCGCTGCCTCCCCTGTGTGGCCCCACAGGGGGCCTGAAGGGAGGCAGGTGCTGAAGGGAGTGGAGTGGCCCTCGGGAGACCTGGAGGGCAGAAAGAGATGGCCAGGCAGATCGGATGACTTTTTCTAATCATTGGGCAACAGAATTGTAATGTATTAAATTCTGCTCCCGTTGCTACCTTCCTGCCCATCCTTCTCCACTCCCTTCCTCCCTCCCTGGGTACCACCCCCCACCCAACTCCGTGCTGGGCTGGAATCTCTTACGCCATCTCCCTTGGCACCCTGCAGCCACGAGAAGCCAGACTCGGAGAACACCCCACCCAGCCAACACCACCACCAGCCGCCTCACAACAGCTTCCCCAACCCGGAGCCGGAGGCCAAGACTCGAGGGGAGGGCGATGGCCGAGGCTGCGAGAAGGCGGAGAGGAGGCCCGAGAGGCCCGACATCCAGAGCGAGCCTCTGGTGAAAGCCAATGGCATCCAAGCTGGGCCGGAACCAGCCTCAGAGCCAGGCAGCCCTTACCCGGGGGCCCCGAGGGTCCCCGGGGGCGGGGAGCGGCCCCCCCAGCCCAACGGCTGGCAGTACGGCTCCCCAAGCCGGCCAGGGAGCACAGCTTTCCCGCCTCAGGACTCAGAGAGTGGGGGACGCCGGCCGAGCTTCCCCCCACATGCCAACCCCGACAAGATTGCCCAGCGCAAGAGCTCCATGAGCCAGCTCCAGCAGTGGGTGAACCTGCGTCGGGGGGTGCCTCCCCCCGAGACCTTCGGAGGTGAGGCCTGCGGAGGGGCAGGGGTGGAGCTGGGGTGCTGGTGCCACAAGGGCGGGGGCTGGGGGAGCAACAGGAGAGGCACCCCCTGTTGGAAACCTTCTGGAAGCCAAGAAAGCCCCAGGGTCCCCACTTGCCCAAGTCCTTTGCTGCCCTCATGGCTCCCTCGGCCGGATTTTGCTATCTGCTTCCTTTGGAGGAAGGGACAGAGCACCCAGTGTCTCTCCACAGGGTGTGGGGGGCCCAGGAAGCAGGCAGGCAGTTTGGGAGGGTCCCTAAAGTTGTCCCAGTCAGACTTCTGTCCCCGGGCTTCTGGCCTTCCCACCACATCCTGTGTTCCAGTGTCTCTACCAGCAGGAGACCCATGGTCAGCCACCGCGCCAGCTTCATCCCCGAACAGCTCTGACTGTGTGAAAGCCAATGTTTATGGGCCGTTTTTCAAAAGAGAAAAGAAACAAAGTGTTGCCACTCATTGACCCCAGTTCTGCCCTCTGTACCAACCGACTCTTTTATCGAGGGACTGACTTTCAAACACGGGGAGGTTCTCATTGGGCCCTGGGGCCGGGCAGCTCGGGCAGTGTGGGCAGGGGCAGTGTCCTAGCAGCTCCGAGGGCTGCTCCCTGCTGGTGGTCTGGCGCCTGGCCGCCGGCCCTGCCCGGAGAGCGAGCGCCTCCCTTGGCTCCGGTCCCATCAGAGCAGGGGAGCCGCTCTGTTCCTCTGTGGCCTCCTCCAGGTGCCTGGGGCACTCGCTCTCTCCTGTGTGGGACAGGATCTGATAAATTGGTTCACGGAGATAGAGATGGCTAATAAGGCTTAAAGTTTCTCCCCAGGGGTATTGCATTTTAAGAGACAGAGATGGAAGCTCAGGGAGCTGGTTGAGGGAGGAGCTCTGAGGACGGGGTCTTCCCTGAACCTCTGGACACAAACCTGGTGCCCGGGGTGCTCACAAGGCCAGCCCGAGGCACCCCTCACGCGATCACACCCCACTCCAGGCTGGAGGGCTCAGGAATGCGGCTGGGTGGGGCCCTGCCCACTGTGTCCACGTCTGACACTGTCCTCTCTCTCAGTCCCTCTAGGTTCTACCCCATGTCCCGCAGGGGCCCTGAGTATTGTGGCCCCTACTCCTCCCCGTTCCCCGACGATTACCAGTACTACCCGCCGGGGGTGCGGCCGGACAGCATCTGCTCCATGCCCGCCTACGACCGCATCAGCCCGCCCTGGGCCCTGGAGGACAAGCGCCACTCCTTCCGCAACGGGTGCGGGTGGAAGGAGCCCGCCAGCTACGGGCGGCAGGACGGCACCGTCTGGATCCCCAGCCCCTCCCGGCAGCCCGTCTATTACGATGAGCTGGACGCCGCCTCTGGCTCCCTGCGCCGCCTGTCCTTGCAGCCCCGGTCCCACTCCGTGCCCCGCTCGCCCAGCCAAGGCTCCTACAGCCGCACCCGCATCTACTCCCCCGTCCGCTCGCCCAGCGCCCGTTTTGAGCGGCTGCCGCCTCGCAGTGAGGACATCTACGTGGACCCCACCGCCTATGTGATGAGGCGATCCATCAGCTCGCCCAAGGTGAGCCACCGGCCTGCCCCTCCCTCCTCACCCCCGGGGGTCCCCCAGGAGCCCGAGACCATCTGCTGAGAAGAGGTGGCGATGCGGGAGCATCTGGGACATGGGGACCCTGGGCTGTGTGTGGACCGGGCCAGCAATGTGCCCAGGGAGCCCCTGGCCCTGTGGTTCCGTTCCCAGGAGAGCTGCCCTGGGGGACATGCTTTGCCCCCTAAGTAGGAACATTGCTGTCTGTGCCCCTGGCCAGATTATGCCAAGAACCCTCGTTCTCTATAAGAGGGCGGAGAGGGCTGTGGTGTTCAGATCTGCAGGACTGAACAGGTCATTGCCAGGATCTCGCACTGGAGCAAGGCTGTCCATTTGAGTTTGGAATCTGCTCTGGGACGGGATACACATATCCCTAACCTTGAACTTCAGTTGGTGGGGAAGTCCACGTCCCAGCCGGACCCTCTCACCTCTCCAATCCCCTTTCTCTTCCAGTATGATTACCTGGGAGACAGGCGGCCAGTCCCTGCAGGACTGTACCCCTACAACTACCCACCACCCCCCACGGTTCACGATAAGATGGTACGTCCTCTCCTCCCCCACACTCCCCTCAGGACCGCTCCTCCCTCCCGGGAGGGCTCCGTGCCCCCTGCCTGGCCCATGTGGTTGTTAGTAGCCTCTGGATACCTCCTTCCTCCCGGCCAGGACTCTGACCCCAGGAGAGTTTGGTGCCAGTTGCCCCTTCCCTGTGACACGGGGCAGAGACGCAAGGACAGATCTGGAACGTTGTGATGTCCTGAGCCTCTGGCCTCAGAGCAATCCTGCAGCTCGTCCAGGGGCCTGGACAAGGGCTCAGATTGCCGGCCGGGAAGCCATTCAGGCTAGAACTCCCAGCAGGCATGGCCTCACACCCCTTCCCCCCAAGTGCACCTGCTTCCGTTTGTCCTGGCCTGGAATGCCGCTCTGGGGAAGGAGGCTGGCAGGGGTGGGGGAGAAGAGATGTTCAATATTGTTTCCTCGTTCCTCTACTGTGTCTTTCCCTAAGTTTTGTCTCCACCTGGAGAGCTAGAACTGAGGGGCGGCCGAACCGTCATCCCCCAGGCCTGTTGCTGTCCCCCTCCCTGCACAGCACCCGGAGGCCAGGGTGGAGGAGGCTGGGCAGGGAGGAGGCCGGGCAGGGACGGGTGGACCTTCCGTAACCTTTTCCTCCTCTGCCAGGGGTCCAACCCTTACCTACGTAAATGCGCCCAGCCCCCACCCAGAAAACAGGAAATTCCCCAAAAAAAATGGGGCACAATCTGTCTGGGAGGGGCTGGACCAGACCACTCCGTGGGTCCCTCCCCCCCTCTGGAGGGCCCCCCCGACCAGCGGGGCCCCCAGAGGGCCCCCCCCCGGGTTTTCAATGTTTGTTTTTGGGGGGTTCAGGCGTGAGGTTTCCTTCGCGTGCCCCACAAACTCTCCCCCCCCACCCTTCCCCAGGGATCTCCCG